TAGATAGATAGATAGATAGATAGATAGATAGATAGATAGATAGATAGATAGATAGCAGTAAGTAGGTAGATAATAGGTAGATACCAGTAGTAGGTAGGCAGGCAGATAGGACACAGACAGATAGATAGGATACTGGTAGGTAGGTAGATGATAGGAAGATACCAGTAGGTTGGTAGATAGGTAGATTGGTTGGTAGATTGATGGATGATAGATTGAGAGGTGCAGGTAGGTAGATTGATATGATAGATTAGATTAGATTAGATTAGATTAGATTAGATAGATAGATAGATAGATAGATAGATAGATAGATAGAATACTGATAGGTAGATAGGTAGAAACAGGTAGGGTAGGTAGGTAGATAAGGATACTGGAAGATAGGTAGATGATAGGAAGATACCAGTAGGTTGGTAAGTAGGTCGATTGGTTGGTAGATTGATGGATGATAGATTGAGAGATGCAGGTAGGTAGATAGATTCACTGATATGATAGACAGATATGATAGATTAGGTTAGATAGATAGATGTTGCTACTGATAAATGTGAGTTAGTGTAAAAGAAATAAGAGAAAAGATTCTGTCTGTGTGTTTATGTGCACAATGAATTCCATGCTTTAGTGGAGCTGTTTACAAAACCATGCCTTTAGATCCCCATACGTGGCACCCGGAAGGAAAGGAGAAGGTTTGCAATAGCAGTTGGGTTTTTTTTAAAGGCACCGCGAAAAATTAAGAAAGACTGATGATTTTCTTCGTCAGAGGGGAAGGGAAAGAAGGACATAATGAGGTGGGCAGTTGGGGGGGAGGAGGGGGTGTGTGAGAACGGAGGGAGGGAGGGACGGAACCAAGACTCACCACCTCCTCATTCCTTTCCCTAGGCTCAAATAAATAAAAGAGGAGGAGACTTCATCCGAAGAGGCTGACACTTTGCTGAGAAGGAAACCGGCCATGCCTCCCAGTGAGGTCTCCGGAGGAACTGGTTTTTGTCACTTCTGAACAGCCAGCTCCCGCAGGTCGGGGTTTCTGAGTGTCCCCCTCCCTCCCTTTCTACGTTCCCCACTCCCTGGAGATGAACCAAATACTCCCCTGGCTTTTTTCCCTACCTGGAACCGTCTCTCATCCTTCCCGGCGCTTGGCAATCCCTGATCCGATAGACCCAGATCAGACTACCAAAGAAAGAGGAAAAACCATCGTTTAAAGCTAGGCTGTCCTTTCCTCTGAGTTAAAAGTCTCTCACTCTCTCTCTCTCTCTTTTTTTTTTTTTTTTTTTTTTGGAGTGGGCAAAAGGCCGGAGAGAGGGAGATTTCATCACCGCCTTTGCAAAAGGAAAAAAAAAACAAAAACAGCCAACGCTCTGTATTTAGAGCTCGGTCGCTTTTTCCTTTCTTTTCTTTTTCTTTTTTTTTCCCCCCCTGGTTGTAAAGTGCCCATGGCTTTCTTGATGAAGAAGAAGAAATTCAAGTTCCAGATCAGTTTCACCCTGGAAGAGCTGACGGCGGTGCCTTTCGTGAATGGCATGCTATTCTGTAAAATCCGTCTGTTGGACGGAGGTGACTTCGTCACCTTGTCTTCCAGGTAAGTTAAGAAATGGGATTTTGTGGGGTGGGTGGGTGGGGGGAGATATTATTTTGCCTGTCCTCCTCCCTTGTTTGGTCTCTAGAGCAGGTTGAAACAAACCCAAGGCTCTTCTTTTAGACAGAGCAATATCAGTTTGGAAAATCTGCATCTCCTCCACGGAGAGACACCTGAAGAGTTGTGAGATGGATACCCAACCATCCAATCAAATCTCCCCTGTTCCATCGTAGGGCATTGTGTGTGCGCAGACAATATGTGTGGTCAGCTGTCCCTCACCATCCACTGACTGCAAATCCCATAGTCCAGGGGTTCCCAACAGTGTGTGTGCGTGCGTGTGTGTGCACGAGAAGATATTAGTTTACTTTCTTGTCATTGCAACCTCGTACAACGAAATCAAACACCATTTTCAGTGCATATCATGACCATGAAAATAAACACAAACACACATCCTTCACACTCCACACATTGAACCGAAAACCCGCAACACTGCACCAACACTGCATTATATAGTAGAATTCAACAGAGCTACTGCCCTGGGATAGAAGCTGTTTTTCAGCCTATTTGTGCTTGTTTTTAATATTCTGTACCGTCTGCCAGATAGTAATAGTTCAAAAAAAGGGTGCCCAGCATGAGAGCAATTTTTAAGGATGTTGTGAACTTTCTTAAGGCAGCGGGAGCTCTAAAGCTCTTCCAAAGAGGGGAGAGGGCAACCCGTGATCCTCTGGGCAATGATGTTCACCCTCTGGAGTGCCGTCCTATCTGCCCCTGTGCAACTGGGGAGGGTGCAAAAACTTGGGTTTTGAAATTTCAAAATTGCTAGTGGTTTATAGGCATAATTATATGCATCTAATTGTTTAGTTTTGTAAGGGGGGTGTGTGAGAATATTATCGGAAGCATTCTAGGGGTGTGGGGTATAGAAAAGGTTGGGAACCCCTGTCATAGTTGGAAGACTGGTGAAAATTCTTTAATGTCACAACAGATAGGCTGACTTAATCATAGTTTCAATTGGGAAAACGTGACCATCCTAAACTAAGCCAAGTCCCCAAACACCCAGGAATTTCTAGAAGCCTGGCACGCTGGCATCAATGTTGCCCATCAATGGACACATAGACATTAACAACATCTACACACTATGCAAAAGGGACTATCCCCCAGCCCCCAAAAGAACAAAAAGACCCCACCCGCAATCAGCACCCAGATCAGCATACATTAACATCAGACTAACAAGTAAACTCTACCCCAGTCAAGAAACTGCCAAAGAGCCAACAGCCTAACCTAAAAGAATCTCTTTAAGACTGTCCCCACCCACACAGACAAGCGGGACACCAGAATATAAAGCTGACAGCATATAGCGCTCCTTACTAGCCCTGATGGTGTTACCTAGTTGGGTCATGAAACATCTGCGAGAAAACAAGCTCAGAGAGCAACCAAGGACCCCCTAATCCAATATGGTGCATGCAGTCCTGAGATTGGCCCAATCGTTGAATGAGTCTTCCCAAGAATCTTATCAATGACTGGACATCCATTGGTCTTGAAATGGTGTAAGGTCTCCTGCTCGTACAAGGGGGTTGGACTAGAAGACCTCCGAGGTCTCTTCTGACTCTGTTATTCTATGTTCCCCTGTTGTGTGTTCATCCAGTGAGCGTGTGTGTTTATATAGAGAGAGGTATTCAAAGCCTGGGTTTTATCTCTCTTTTCTCCGTTTGTTCCCTTCCATGTTTTGCATTGACCAGGAAACTAAATGTTCAATGCTGTGTGACCTCTCCTCCTCTCCTTCCTTCTTTCCATCCTTCCCTTTCTTCTCTTCATTTCTCTTCTCTCTCCTTCTTTCCCTCCCTCCTTGCCTTTCCTCTCCTCTCCTCTCCTTCCTTCTTTCCATCCTTCCCTTCTTCTCTTTGTTTCTCTTCTCTTTCCTTCCTCCTCCTCTCCCTCTCTCCCTTCCTTTCCTCTCCTCTCCTCTTCCTCCCACTCTCTCTCCATGCAGTAATAGGTTCCAGTGCATCAGCAATTGATTGCATTGATGTAATCTCAGAGGCTATGTTGCTCTGGGCTATTGTTCTTAGCCTTAATTTGTAGGGTAGTTTGCCCTTCACACACAGGGAGCTGCTTTCTCTCTCCCTCCCTCTCTCTCCCCTAATCAAATGTTGCTTTTGTTTTCAACTGGGTGCATGTTGATTATTGCGTAGCACTGGACACACACACACACGCACATACACACATACATTCCAAAGCAACCTCAGACTTGCCTTTACCCATGTCTTTGGCAGAGAAGTTCTTATTTATTTATTTATTTTTAAAATAGCAAAGCAAAGGTGGCTCGTTGGGCAGGAACCGAAATCTTCCCTTCTTTCTGCACTCTTTTTCGTTTCCATGGGTGTTTAACTGAACTTGCAAAGTCAAGACGTTCAGCTTGGGTTGATCGCTTCTCTGCCAGAGCAAACGATGTCTCTGTGGCTCAGAATCCTGTATTGTTGTTGTTTTTGTGATGATAGATGATGATGATGATGATGATGATGATGATAGCATGAGATGGTGACTTCAGAGTTTGACTACTTTGGTGCTCCTCAACTATTCCTTGTTTAGTTTGGTTTACTTTCTTGTCATTGTACCTCGTACAACAAAACCAAACACCATCTTCAGTGCACATCTTGACCATGAAAATAAACACAAACACACATCCTTCACCCTCCACACATTGAATTGAAAAACCCCTGATATTGCATTCATATTGCACTATAGAGTAGAATTCAACAGAGCTACTGCCCTGGGATAGAAGCTGTATTTCAGCCTATTTGTCCTTGTTTTTATTATTGTTCTGTACTGTCTGCCAGATGGTCATAGTTTAAAAAAAAAGGGGGTGCCCAGGATGAGATGGATCTTTGAGGATGTTTTGAACTTTCTTAAGGCAGCGGGAGCTCTAAAGCTCTTCCAAAGAGGGGAGAGGGCAACCCATGATCCTCTGGGCAATGATGTTCACCCTCTGGAGCGCTGTCCTATCTGCCACTGTGCAATTGGCAAACCATCCACAGGTGCAGTAAGTTAAGATATTCTCTATGGTGCAGCGGTAGAAGGTCACTAGCAGTTTTTCAGTCAGTTGTTTCCTGAGAAGCCTCAGGTTGTATAAACTCTGCTGGGCCCTTTTGACCAGTCAGGTCCTCTTTTATGGTAACACACAGAAACTTAAAACTGGCCACTTGCTTCCTTTTTTTGACTTGTTTTGGTTTTTTTTGTCAGAGGAAGGGAACCCTGTGTACCTGTTAGTTAACCCAACCGTTGGCTTGCAAGTCCTCTACTTACAACAGTTCATTTAGTGACCATTCAAAGTTAACAACGGCACTGGGGGGGGGGAAGTGACACGCACATTTTTCGCGCCATGGTCACGTGATCAAAATTCAGCTGCTTGCCAGCAGACTCCTATTTATGACGGGATCATGGGATTCCCTTTTGCGGCCACCTCACCAGCAAAGTCGAGGTGGAAGACGGGGTTCCCTTAAGCAGTTCAACTGAACAACTGCGATGATTCCACTTAACAACGGTGGCAAGGAAGGTTGTAAAACGGGGCAAAACTCACTCAGCTGTAGAAATTGGGGGCTCAGTGGTCACACATCGAGGACCACCTGCCGTCTTTTTTGATTTAGGATACGGTTGTGCCCAGGATGCCAAAGGAGGCACCCATTAGAAGGTGGGAGAAAATTTAGCGTTTATATATTTCATATCTCTCGGCTATTGACTTCTGCGTTCCAGGTTTGCTTGCTGTAGAAGTGCTGTGTTGGAGTTTGCCTGTGCTTGGTGTGGTTGCGAACATCTGTAGCTGCTGTTTCTGGTTGTCCCCCCCCCCCTCCCCCTCTGATGTTCAGCCATGCTCAACAGCAGTTTATTATTGCAGCTTGCAGATGTGTTCCAGCAAGGAAACGGCCTCTAATTCAAGCCAAATGCATGCATGCAATTTCTCCCTCCCTCCCCCCCTCTCTCTTTCTCTTTCTGTTTTCTGTAAACAGGCAAGTTGGAAACGTGACATTGGGGGGGGAGAGGCTTGCTCACCCATCCCTGGGGTGGCTTGTTCCAAGTGAAAACACATGGAAAGTTATTCAGCTAAACTCTGTTAAAGCAGGGGTGTCCAACTTTGTCCACTTTTAAGACCTGTGGACTTCAGCTCCCAGAATTCCCAGCATGGAAGAAAGGAAAAAAAGTTTGGAAAGGACTGAGCTGGGCTATATCGGGGTGTCCAATCTTGCCCACTTTTAAAATCCTGTCGATTTCTGTTTCCAGAATTCCCCGCCCAGCGTGGTTGGGAGATCTCAGGATTTTAGATCCAAACAAAACCCTTGATTGCACACCTTAAGGAAAGGGATACCTCAATGGTTATTGTTAGCTTCTCCTTCCAGACCAGAGGGGTCCAACTTTGTCCACTTTTAAGACCTGTGGGCTTCAATTCCCAGAATTCCCCAGCCAGCATGGCTTGAGGTACTCAGTCAAAGTGTGCAATCGAAGGTTTTATTCTGGGTCTAAAATCCTGAGATCTCCCAATCATGCTGGCGTGGGAATTCTGGGAGCTGAAGTCCAGGGGCCATAAAAGCAGAGAAGGCTGAACCCTTCCAAAGTGTGCTGTTGCCTCTTCCGTTGTTAGGGGGGCTCATGGTGGCTTCAAACCTCATGTGGATATTCCACCCTTTCCCACTCCCCCCCCCCTTTGTCCTCTTGACCCCAGAGTGGACATCCAGAGGACCCAGGAATTGAGTGGAGGCAATGCAGTTGTGCATGTCCCCTTTGGATGGATCCTCCTGGGTGCAGTCTTTCAAACAAGGAGCTATTTGTAAAGATTTAAAAATGAGTCAAGAGTTTGCAACATCCTGGAAAAGATTTGCCTTGACTTTCCGACGGTTGCGAATTCTCAAAAACATGCTGCTTTGCATCCTGCTGGAAGGGTCGCTATCTGGATTTATTTTTTTTCCCCCTAGGTTGTCAAATCCTTTCCTTCCGCTTCAGTTAGGAGTTATTTC